CTACTGGTCTCCACGCGGCAGGTTCCCATAGCAATCACCTCTGTTTCACTTCTGAATTTTCAGTTGACCCTTCTTCTGGTAATGTCCCTCACTGGGTCTCTCTTTCTTGCTACCTCACTTTGAGCACCAGTTTGTATCAGCCTGTTCTGCTGCTTCAATCTGTGGGTCAGGGCCTAGCAAGAGAGAGAGTGGGGACTGAGATGCAAAGAATGGAGATGAGACAGAGTATGCTCTGGTCTCTCCTCAAGTCTCTCCTTTTATATATCTCCTCAAGTCTTGCCTTGAGTCTCACCTTGAGTCTCACCTTGAGTCTCTCAAGTGCTGGGATTAAAGGCATGTGCCACCACTGCCTGGCCTTGATTGAAAAGAAATCATGGGTATATCAAGATAATTATCAGTGTGCTCAGCTGTTGCAGGCTGTTGAAAACAAGTCTCTTGTCAGGGTATATGGCTCAAGATGGCTGGAAAGATGATAGCCGCTTTCTGCTCAGAGTCGGCTCCCAACACACATTTAAAACTTCGTTCATTTCTAAGTGCTCTATAGAGTGGGGGTTTAATTTAGTTCTCATCTGTCCCGATGGTATGATTGAATTAGCAAAGAAATCACAGTAAATAAAGATGAAAAGAGGCTCAAAGACTAGATAGGTTAGAGAAGAGATGACTATAACCAATGTGAAGGATATAGCAGGAGAAATTAAGGAACACTGTCAGGGAAGAAAATTGAGCACATCAAGGAGTGAGTGATTCACACTCTTAAATCATTCTGTTGAAGTTTCTTCTGACAACTTTTGCTTTCAGGATGCCTACATTAAAGCAGAGAGAATTTAATAAAGCTATCAAAAGAGTGCAGCTTCTGAACTACTAGGACACACAGTACCACCGAAAACTCCAATTCTCTAACTCCTTCACTCCATTTCCCCTTCTTCCACAATGTTCCCTGAGCCTTAAGTGTGTTAAGATGTGTTAGATGTAGCATCCAATGGGAGTGGGCTCTACAACTCTGCATTTTAAATGGTTGTGGTTTTTAGTAACAATCTCCATAGTGTCACCAACATGACTGCCTAAACATGAGCTGAACAATGGCAACACCAATGAATATGACTAAGTAGATGGGAGTGCTGACCCACAAGCCTGAACCCTACCCAAAGAACAATAGGAAACTAGGGAATGCTGAGAGCTAGGGAAATAGTCCTCTCTGTGGAAGAGCAATTAGTAATCCAATTACTAATTATCCAATTAGTAATGTCAAATGCTCAGCCCTGAAAACATACTCATGTGTAACATTATGCAGACAGAGCAGAAAAAATATATATATATATATATATATATATATATATATATATATATATATAACAAAATTAATGGAATTAATTGAGCTTGAGAAAAAGCAAGAAAGGGTATATGAGAGAATTAGAAGCAAGGAATGGGAAGGGTGAAATGGTGAAATTATGATGTTAAAAATGAAAGAAATAAGTTTTTCAAAGTTGCCAGAAGTAACTTTCAGTAGCTTCCAGAGATCAACAAAAGGATCATAGTAACCTGAAGATTATCATTTTTAAAACAATTTTCCTAGTGTTTGCATCTAATGTCAAGTAATGCTTACATGTTTTTTCCCCACCAAGTTGCACACTTTTTATGCTCACAATTGCATTACAACTGTTTGCTTGTCTCTGTTTCCTTCAGCAAATAGTGAACTCCCTGGTAGGGATTACAACATCTGGCTTTTTACTAATGCATGATAATTGTAAAATTGTAAAGTTGTAAAAAGTAAAGGGATACATTTTGATATTTCTTTATATGCATATAAAATGCTTTAATTATATTTACTTGCTTTCTGATTGTCCTTCTATACTTCTCGTCTCTATAATAGTTCCCCTTTTCTTTTTATGTCATTTCCCTCACTATATTCTACATATGAAAAAAATGCCACATGTCAGGCTTCAAGACTTACTTAGAATTTGGGAGCTAGCATTTTCACTAATGTCCGATCTACATAGTTATCTTAAGTTAAGAAATCTAACAAGAGATTTATTTTCTTTCTTAGAGTTAAAAACATCATCTATAACTTACCTTTCACTGAAAAAAGTTACATGGTCAACATTCTGTTTTGTATTTATCTCTAGTGCCTTCTGCATTTAGTACATATGCTTAGAGTATACCTATTCCTATGCAGAGACACACTTGTCTGTGTCTTCACATTGCTACTACTCAGTAGCTTTGATGTTTTCTGTTTAAAGGACAATGCATAGGAAATCAACATCCTATAAAATCACATTCCACTAAGAACACTGCTATATGTATATTTATATCCATATTATTATATATAAAAACATGTTTTCATAAGTTCATGAAAGGATTTATAAGAAATTCTCTGTCTTTTTTCAGTGATAGTGGTTTAAAGAGCTACAATGGTACTACTAAATACATTATAAGCAACATAATTTTTTCCAAATCTAAACACAATAGACCATATCATCTACAGACATAAGTCTCCTGAAGAGATGTTTTAAATTGGAGATGCATATATAATATATTTGATCCATACAGTGTTTGTTGCTTTTTAAAAAATCATTTGTCAAAAGCTGGGGAGGTGGCTCAGTGAGTAAAGTGTTTGGATTACAACATGAGAACCCAAGTTTGGATTCCCAGTATCCACACAAATATCCAAGTATATACACACCTGGAACCACAGCATTAGTGGAGACAGGGAAGCATGGCAGGAGAAAAAAGAATCCCTAGGGCTTGCTTGTTGCCAACCTAGCTGCCTAATTTTAAGTTTCTATATTTATTACTGCTTTATTAAATTGAATGCTCTGATAACATTAGACTCAAATCTGACAAGATCACAACCCACTGAGGTTATGTGGTGACTACTTCTTATGCATGATTGTTTTGGGCTCACGCATTCCTTGTAATTCCTCTGAATATACGGTCTAACATAAGTTGTTATTAATAGCTTTCTTAAGAGACAATTGAAATAATTCTTATATCTATCCGAGTTTAAAAATTAAAAGGTACACTGAGACAACTGTGCTCTAAAACAGATGGGAGAGTTAGAGAAATGGAAACTATTTTAAGTATGCCTAGAAAGTATTTTTTAACAATTAATTGAGCTTCACATATAAAATTATGTGGTGTATTATAGGAAACTGTAGTTAAGATATGGTACCTCCTTCCTCTGGAGGAATATATTCTGAGACCATTACTGGATGTTAGAATCTGTGAAATTGTGTGTATATAGTATTTTTCTATACATAAATACTCCTGAAGAAATTGACTTTTAAAACTGGACACAGTGGCAGATTAAGAAAGATAACTATTAACAGGAGAATAATTGGACTTATTTACTGTACTTGATCTTCCATTTCTTGTGATTATAATCTTACTCAATGACATGAGGTGAAGTGAATGGTGTCAGGCTAGTTTATAAGGTTCCATGAGGCACACACATTATGATGCTACAATAACTGATCTGAGATCAAAGGAAAGGATCATTCTCCACCTCTCATTTGAAATGATCTCAGTGAGTGTGGCTCTTATTGATTTAGCTAGAAAAACTTTTCATGGAGCTCCACTGTATTAGCACTGGAGCTATTGGTATACATCAAGCTTTTTATATGATTGATGAGGGATCTGAACACAAGCTCTCATGCTTATGTGGCAAGTACTTTACTAATTGAGACATCATCATTCCCATTCCCCTCTTATAATTTTTTTCTTTATATGCACATGACAGGACAGGTATAAAACTACCATAAAATTATACATATTTGGTCATGGTGCCAATGAGAATTTTGATATCAATGAGTTCTTGGCATATTGTTCATCACAAATAAATTATAGAATGGTTTACTTAATTATTTGTAAACAAGTCCTAAAATATAATGTATGTAGATCACAATTAATGTACATGAGTACGTGTTAATGCTAGACCTGCTTATGATTAGTATATTTAGTATTACAAAATTTTGCACAGACCCAGAGTTTACATTCATTTAGTAGAAGTTTCACCAGAAATTCTTTGCTTTGTGATAAATTATATAACTAGAGCATATTAAGGATACAGTAGCTGTCTTGATAAGGTGGAGATACTTTCTATCATTGACTTTAACAAAAGATGGCTTAAAACTTGGAGTAAAGTGGCAAAATGTGTGGTGATTTTAGCTTCCCTTTGTGAACCTAGATGCCTGAGTTAAGTCAAGGTGCTCACTCTAAATATGAAATCTAATGTAGAAAAATTTGCCTTTCTCTGGAAAGGAATCAACTCATTCATTACAGTATTGACAAAAACTATTTATCTTTATACTACCTCACAACTTTGTTAATTTGTACAAAATTCTGCATTTGATGCTTTAATTTCAAGTCTAAGAGAAAACATTGACAACCTGGTACAAAAGAAAGCATGTGAAATTTCTGCTTTGCATACTATAGTGGTAATAAATAATTTATAAAATTGTCATCATTAATTATTGCTATTTTGATTTGGATTATTATTTTAACTTAAAATATCATTAGTTTGAATTTTTATCTTAATTCCATATACTTACCTCATCATTAATTAAAGAAAATTTTATTATATTCCTGGAAGTTTATGTTTTATTACCAGCCTGGTTCACTCACATTGGGTATTTCCACAGATTTTGCCTTTTTTGAGTTTGACATTTGTGAATGAGGCGATATTTTATTCTTTCCCATCGCTATATAGTCTTTCCTTCAAGAAAAGGAAAGGTGTCCGTCTAGAGCATTGACAATCATTAAAGGAACAGAATATTGTGGTTTCATTTCATGTACGTTCTACATGCTATAATAAGTAGTGAGTGTTTATTATAGGAAGGGTGAGTGAATAGAAGGTTGAACTTAATGGAAGACAAAAATGTATCTAAAAGTCTTTGGGATAGAAGCTGTAATAACTTAAATATTATTAAATCATATACACATTATGCATGATAGGAAATGATTTTCCTTTTCTTTAAACTTCTTTTTACATACCCTTGCTATAGATGCCTATACCAAAGCTGAAGTAATTTATTCTTGGACTCTTGGGAAGAACAAATCTGTGGAAGTAGCACAGGATGGCTCACGCCTGAACCAGTATGACTTGCTTGGCCATGTTGTTGGGACAGAGATAATCCGGTCTAGTACAGGTATTGCTTTATTTGTTTATTAAATTTCTATGTAATCTTTATCATTTGACAACATTATATTGCTAACTTATTTAATCTTTAATCGAAAACAGTTTTGAATACCATTACAATGATGAAATTGAAGCATATGAATTCAATAATTTATTCCATTCCGTGTTGTTATGCAGTGCCAGAGTCAAACTGTGAACCTATGCAGAAAGCTCTTAATTCCCTCTGAAACCAAGTGCCCTGATATCTCTTGAGGAGTAATGTTTTCGGCATTTTCAAACACGAATCTTTGTGAGTCCACAATTATTGATAAAGTTGGACATACAGTCATCCTTTCATTATTAAGACATATGTTATGACTTGGTGATGTTATAGCACACCATCTTGTCTGCCCTTTACTTCAGGACCCAGGGGAGTGTATGATGTAATAGAAATGCTTTTGCCCAGGGCTGTGGAGGTCCCATTCCCAGAAATGTATTCTGCACTAGTTAATTTTGTTACTTGTCCTGGTTGCCCTCTGAACTTTGATACTTGGTATCAAATTTGAAAATCAGTCTTACTGGCTATCGAATCAGTCCAAGATCTTATTCCATAGTTTAAACCACCTTTATCATATGGAAAATACATTTTCATAATAGTAATGCTAAAAATGCATGGAGAAGCAAACATAGGACATTCAGATACAACCAACTCAGTGTATCCATGGGCTCTCCATCTACAGATTTAATCAAATGAGGAATGCAAATTTGTCTTAATTGTATACTAAACATGTATAGAAGTTTTTCTTGTCATTATAAAATAGAGTATGAATATTTGTATTGTATCTGATATTATAGGTTTTTATATAAATATCATAGATATATATGTCATGCAACTTTATGCAAGAGACCTGAGAATTCAGGGATTGTGTATTAATAGGGGTTCCGAAAACAGTCCACCCTTGATTCAGAGTAACAGTTTAACTCTTCAATTGCATGTCCTATGAAAATGTCAGTAAGGTACTAGAGACATGCCTCAGTAGTTTAAAAAACTGGCTGCTCTTAAAGAGGACCTGGGATCAATTGCCAACATATACTTGGTGGCTCACAACCATCTGTAACTCCAGTTGCAGAGGATCTGACACCCTCTTTTGACCTACATGGACATCCACAATCATGTGCTCACATGCAGGTGCACAACTACACATATACACAGAGGATGGTGTAGAGGTAGGGTGAGGGAGATAGACAGACAGACAGAAACATATAAATAAAAATTTAAAAATCTATAATAAGAAAATTAGAAAATTTTAGTACATTTATTGATATATATTGATATACAGGAAAATTCCTTTTGCATTTGTAGCAATTCAAAAATTTAATTAAATGGCGTTTTAGAACACTAAAATGTTCCAAATGGTACCAAATAAATGGTACTCATACCATTTATTCTATTTTATAATTTTATCTACTTTTAATATTACAAGTTTTATAAAGTGTTCATGTCATTAGATGTCCAGAAGCCAAGAAAAATGCACATATAAATCACTAACAATATGCTAGCAATTATAATGAAGGCGTTAATACTTGTTTTGGTTACTTTAAATATAAGTAAAATAATAAATTTTCTCTTTCAAGGCTAGAAAATTCTTGACAATTGTTTTTGTTTTTCAGTGGAAAATGTAGCATTTCATTGTTTAAACTTAGCAAAATAATAGTTTCATTTGTTATGGCATTGTGCAGGGCTCATAGCCTACTTAACCAATTATCTATTATTATACCCTGTGTTTAATTCTATAAACGATATCGTGTAGACCCTCTTTTTCCAGACAACATTTTGCTATAGTGTAATTATCTGTCTATGATCCAGACAGAACATTTTTGAAAATAATACATGTTGACAAACTGCTGCTCTGAAAATTTAACCAATTCTTTTTCCCATTGCCTCTATATGAGCACTCAAGTGTTTTTTCTCTCCTTAAAAATACTGGAATTATGGATTCAGTTATTTTCTCCAAAGATATGTCAAAGTGTTAACTATACCACCTTAGTACAGGATCTTATTTGGGGATAGTATAATATAAATGTAATCACTGAAGATAAGGTCATATTGCACTAATGTAATCTAATTGTTCCTATGAAGAGTAAAGCTTCATTTCAGATCTCTGAGGTGATACAATTATCTTGTTTTAGCATATCCAATACCTGGTACTTCATTAGGGCAGCCTCAGCAAACTAATGCATCAGGAAACTCTCATTTTATTTTTCTTACCAATGATGAAATTAACACATGTATGGTAATGACATTAATAATGATTAATTGCTGGACATGTAATATGTACTGGATATAGCACTATGGACATGTATTAAGTCATTTTAGCCTTGACCAGTACTGTGAGGTAAGCAATATTGTTGTTCCATGTCTCTACAAATTCAATGCCTTAAGCATGTATAGTTTAGTTCACTCCATATTTACAATGTGCTTCTACTGCACCTCTTTTTACTTTTAGAGATATAACATGGATTCATTTGTGTCAAGTATATGAGTATATAGTGTATTTCACTCACCCTCTACCATTCCAGTCCTCTACCAGATTCAATATAAGTCTTTGTTTCCTTGTCCTCTTTATTTCTAGACGATTAAAGGAACATTTAGTTGTTTTGAATGGCGTGAATATACCTTAAAGATGGCATATCCTAATTCCAGAACCTGTGAGCATATTAGGTTATGAAAGGAGTGGTTATAATAGTATTTAAATGAAGACATAATACTGGATCATGGTAGTAGGATCAGCATAATTACAAAAGGTTTCTCATGAAGAGCAAATCAGTCAGAGAGAAATAAAGCAGGGTTACAAGCACAGAAATTCTAGGAGCCTCCTCCTTAGAACCACTAGAAAGAATGCAGCTTTAGCCAATGATGTATGTGGGTATCAAAATATTATGTTTCCTCATAGATTTGGACAAATTTCTAAACTGAAGTGTGAGAGCATAATTAAGGTTTTTAAAATTGCCAAAGAGTGGTGGCACACGCCTTTAATCCCAGCATTTGGGAGGCAGAGGCAGGCGGATTTCTGAGTTCGAGGCCAGCCTGGTCTACAGAGTGAGTTCCAGGACAGCCAGGACTACACAGAGAAACCCTGTCTCGAAAAAACCAAAAAAAAAAAAAAAAGAAAAAGATTTTTAAAATTGGTTTTAGAATTTGAAAAATAGAAAAAAAGAGAAACACACATACAGAGGAAATATTAAAAACTATCTTTTATTGCAGTTGCATTTTTTTGTGTACTGGGCACCATCCATTTCAATTTAGTTATTTGTCTGTAGAAAGTGCCTACAAAGACTTTTTAATTTTCATGTTTCTGTGTTTTCTTTATGCCTCTTTCATTCATTCTCTTATTTTTGGGTCTGACTACATGTAGAGGTAGCATAAACAATTACAATAAACTGATATGATAATAACAGTTTAAACTTTTAATTTAAAAATTAAAGTATGAATCTTAATTATCCTCTTAGAAAATTAAATTAATATAATAATTTGTCAAATGGATGTAGAGAGATAGAAAATACCAAACATGATTTAAGACATGGAAAACTACTTTCTGTGTAGATTGAGTTTATTTGTGACTTACACAGTCATCTGTCATAAAAACAAATTACACAAAAAAGGCAGCAATGGAGGCACAAAGGAAGGATATCTACCTCAACATTAATTTGGCAAGCTGTTCTACAGTTCTGGCTTGAATAATAGATAACAATTATTTATAAAATATGCATCATATTTACTATTTCATGCACAACAGTGATGGTACTGAATAAGCTAAAAGAAAACAAAATAAAACAATAGCAGAAAAATGGAACTCACTAGTGAAAATAGAATGAGAAGATGAAAAAAATCCTCCAATTTAGTGGGAAGCTGAGTTCTGATTTTGACAGGAAAAAAATATGGAGAGATGATAGAAAATGCTGGCTATGTATTTGAAAAGAACTTGCCAGTGAATTGATACAATGAATTAATTTGCTAAACATCTGTGAATGTGTTAAAGTAGCCTTTCATTTTCCCCTTGTCTTTTTCCAGTGGACACATATAATCTGAAAAAAAAATTTAAAGGCAGAAATAAGGGATGGCTCCTCAACCAGTACAAACCTTTAGTTCTCAGTAAGGAGATGGTTTCCATTTGGAACAGAGAAAGCAAGGCTAATAATGAAGAAAAGAAAAAAAAGCTTGAAGAAAATATGTTCAGCTACTTCAAACAAATGGTTGATTTAATAAAAATTTCATAAGTACAAGTACATTTGTCTTCATTTTCTGATAGCGTACAACCGTGAATATTAAATAGTAGATAGTAATATTAATATATCAATGATATTTTATATATTAGCTATTTCATATGAATGGAGAGTAAGCTTGATATTATGAGTTAAGAACTATGAAACTAAAGCTGGTAAGGGAAAATGGTCAAGCTAATCAAAGTCCAACTCTTGGGAAAAATAAATCCTAAACTCCTAATCAGTAGGAAAGAGTAAAGCAAAAGTAACAGAAGAGGAGAATACAGGTCATGAAGGGGGAATAAGAGAAGGAAGTAAGAAGGAAGTCAGATACAGAAACAGAGGAAGAATATGATGCAAAGAATTTTGAATATTTTAAATTTAGTCTTAGATACCTTAGAGCTATTAGTTTTTGAGGTGGGGTAATTTGTTGGCAAGTTTAGTTTGGAAGAGAATAGAAAATAGAGAAAGTAAAATGTCAAAATACCTGTTAAATATCCAAATAATAGTTATGCAAAATAACTGGATGAATATCTAGATGTAGCTACAGTTGGGAACCCCATGTTCCTATTAACAAGCTGTTGCCACCTGGTTGGCTTAAAAGAGACTAAATTTCTTGTCTCTCAGATCTGGAGGTTAGGAATCTGAAATCAAAGCATTGATGGAATTAGTACTCTCTAGAGATGTGAAGAATTGCTTCTTTGCCTGTTAGTAGCTTCTACAGATGACTAGCAATCTTTAGTGGTACTTGAATTGAGGATACACCTCTGCCTCTGCTATTCATGGAAAATGGAGAGTTCACGTATATCAAAGCTATTGAAAAATACAGAAGGCAAAGATTTACTGATTGATGTTAGTAGACTAAAATTAGTATAGATGTTGTTTGTAACATCTCACCAATTTCTATATTCATATGTATGAGACTGTCTGCTTGTCTATATGTACAACACATATATGTAGGTGCTCACAGAGCCTAGAAGAGAATAAAAGCTCTCCTAGAGCTGAAATTTCAGGTGTTGCTTGATATAATGCTAAAAGTTAAACCAGGGTCCTCCACAGGAACTTGTGCATGCTCATTGTAGCTGATCCTTTTCTTTAGGCCCAATTTGATCTTTTAGTTCTAATCAAGAAATGCCTATAGAATAACAAAGCATAGTGTTGACAAGAATAAACTGTAGATCTAACCTATGTGGGCTTAATTTGGGGCACTACTAGTTATTAGCTGGGTGCCTGTGCAAGGTATTTGGACCTTTGTTATTTGAGGTTTTTTGACCTGTAATATGAGGATTAGAGTAGTCCCTACTTCACAGGATCACTGTGAATATTAAAAATTTAATGAAGTGTTATATGAGTATGTATCATACAGTAAGTGCTTTCTTTATAAAATGTCATTTCTCATTACTTAAATGAAAGCATGATTTAAATAAGCTCATCAGACTTGCTATCAACAAGTTGTCATGGTGTATTATTATCGTATTTTTTAATGTCCAAAATACTATTTTATAATTTTGCTTTAGAACTCAAGAGTTAGAAAGGTGTTAGGAAATCTTAACTTGAATATAATATTGAGGATCTCTGGGAATCACAGAATGGTGGCCCAAGTTGTTTTAACAGTGTTTGTATGAATCCATGCTGCCTAATTTTATTCTCTGTCCAGGAGAATATGTTGTCATGACAACCCACTTTCATCTGAAGAGAAAAATTGGCTACTTTGTCATCCAGACCTACTTGCCATGTATCATGACTGTCATTCTGTCACAAGTGTCTTTCTGGCTTAATAGAGAATCTGTCCCTGCCCGCACAGTCTTCGGTAAGTGTTGCTTCATGGAGAATGGGGGACTATGACACTTGCATAGACAGAGTAGAGGCATGAAAGGTGGCAGTAACAGCATCATCAGATGCTGGGATTATAAGCAACTGAATTGTTAACAAAGGAACAAAGATATAAATGTTGAAGTAGTATAATTACTCAAATGTTCCATATCTCATTTTGTCCTGGGAACCAGGAAGAAAGAGTCTTCAGTGAAAACTACACAAACGTAGTACAGAGAATAGAAAAAGTCAAGGGTGGGAAACTAGCCTCAAATCAAAGAAGTAGATTGGGTCTTATAAAGACCAATCTTTTCTCTTCTCTTCTCTTCTCTTCTCTTCTCTTCTCTTCTCTTCTCTTCTCTTCTCTTCTCTTCTCTTCTCTTCTCTTCTCTTCT